TGGATTGATGTTGGTAGTCTGGTGTCGAGAGTGCTGATTTCAAAGCCATGATCGGCGGCGAACTTGTGCAGATAGGTGGCTGCTGCAGTATGATTGGTAAATGTAATCTCGATTGGAGGAGGGGGTATAGGATTGGGGTATGTGGGTATGTTGTTGTTGGCTGAGCTGGTATTCGTGGTCATGATTACTGAGAGACAAGTTTGGAGGTGTGAAGGTCGCTGCAGGAAGTATTGAGGTGTGAGTGAGGTGTGAGTGAGGTGTGAGTGAGGTGTGAGGATTGGTGGAATTAACAGGTGATCTTGTTTGTTGAATCGGTTGGGGACTTCTGGGTTGTTGGCGTGGATTTGGTATGTGTATGAAAGTTGTGAAAGGTGGGGAAAGTTGGATCGTGAAACTTGAAAGAGATGTGAAAATGGTGGGGTAGATGGGCAAAGAAGTCTTCTTGCTCGAAAAGTCTTCATGGGCCGGTGTGGGTGTGAAAGGTGGTGAAAACGGCTGTGAAGACGGGTGAAGGGTGTGAAGGAGTGTTTCATGCATTTGGCGGTTGTGTGGGACTTGAAGCTTGGGAGGTTACTAAAGATGCATCCTAGCATCTTAGGATGCATCTGCGCGCTTATCTTCGGACTCGCTGCGAGGATACATCAACTGTTATCCTCGGGTCGGGGCCGAACTTCGAGTGCACACGAGGTGCGGCAAGGCCAGGCTCATTTTAAGAGGAATGAGAGAGGGGATAAACACTTCTTTATTTCCAAATCACGTGTATGAAAAGAAGAAAAACAATTGCTAAGCAAAAACAACGTTTATGTCCAAACTTCACGGGTCTGCAAACCTATACAAGAGCTATAAGGTCAAACTGGTGAAGTGAAATGGATGGGGGAGGGATGGGATAACAACTTTTTTAAAGGGATAACAATCTTTTTGATCGAATTGGCATGTCTGAAAGAAGATATAAGACCTATGAGTTAGAAACATAAAGAACAAAGATTACAAATAAAACAATGTGCTTACTTATTTCAACAATACTTTGTTCCAGCTCTTGAGACACACTTGAGCCTCGAGATTGGCAGGAGTGAATGATGCACGATGGTCGCTCATGACTCTTAAAGCGTTTGAAAACGAGCTCTCAGATGGAGAGCTGGAAGCAGGAACCGCAAGCATTGCAAGCGCCATGCGGGTTAAGTTGGGCCAGTGACGTTGGTTGCTTTTCCAGTAGTGGAGAGGATCACAAAACTCATCTTCTTGAGGCGCGGTCAAGTATTCTTTGAACTCGTGTTCAATCGGAACACGCTTGCGACGCTTAATAAAATGATTAGGTCGATCAGGATCAAGATTGTCTTGAGGTTCAACAAACTCGATATCGGAGTCAGGAGCCGGTACAAAGCGTCTGGCCTCATCAGTAAAGTAGTCGACCAAGTCTTCATGTGTCCAACCGAGAGACTGCATAGTTTGCGCTTTGACAGCAGTCACCTTGAGGCAAGGATCGAGGATGGAAGAACATATGTAGACTGCCTTATTTTGGGCAGCGTGTTGATATTGGATGATTTTCTTCATCATCGGCATAATAGCGACTTTCAATTCCTGGGAATGAGAGTCGTTCCAGGCCTAAATGGTTCATATGGGACAAATCAGTAAGCTGGTATTTGGAAAAAAGGATAAACACAAAAACAGTAGAGAGGATAGAAAAAACTTACCCCTTCAAATCGATTCACTAGCCATTGGTAGTCTGGCATGACACGAGAAAAGGTAGGGTATTGATGACCTTTGATATTTTTAATGACATGATCTAAAGGCGCTAAGAAATGAACAATTGATTCCACCAACTCCCACTCGTCATTGCTGAGTTTGTAAGCTTCAAGAGATGGGTCACAATTGAATAGATACTCTAATACCACTCTAAGCTCGGAGAATCGTTCAAGTGATGCATGAGTTGAGGACCACCGGGTTGAAACTTTGTGGACTAGACCGACTTTGCGTTTTAACATTGCACAGCCCTTGATAGCGTTGTCAAGGGAGGACTTAAGTTGACTGCTGTGCTTGATTTTCTTGTGAAAAGATCGGATTCGAGTCAGGACACTTCCTATCTCAGTATGAGATGTCGGCTCGATGAACAAGGGAATCGAAGGTTGCGGGATGCTGGGATCAAGTGCGTTGATTGGAGCAGGAGCAGTCTTTCGATCGAAGACTGCCATTCCTGCCTTTGCTACAAGGTTAATGACGTGGGCCACGCATCCATGGAGATGTTGGGAAGAATCAAAATGAGGGATCATTGTCGAAAGGCATTGGCCCATCGTAGTGTTGTTCGACGCGTTATCAGCTGTGACACAATAAAGCCGTTCGGTGATGTGAAACTGATCGAGAGTATGCTTTAAAAGGGTAGCAAGGTTAGAGCCAGTATGAGGGCCTTCGATGACCTTCAAAGCTAGAGTAATTCAGCGGATGTTGAAGTCGTCTTCGGAAATCCAGTGTGCAGTCACGCCTAGCATTGCGGTATTGGAAGGTGAAGTCCATCCATCACAGGTTATGCTGATGTGTTTGACGGAAGAAAGAATGCTGACGATGGCGTTACGAGTTGAGCAATAAGATTCCAGAATGCCATCAGAGATACAAGTACGCTTTGATAATAACGGGAGAGCTTGCGGGTTGACCATTGTGATGAGCTCGCGGAACTCGACAGCATCCACTAAGGTAATTGGAAGCTCTTGGTTGACTACTAATCGAACTAGAAGATCCTTCAGATTTGCTCTGTTGAGTTTTCGGACCTACGTTTCAAAAATAATAACAAATACCAATTTTTAATTAGTTCATGTCCACCATCAAAGATTGATTCATGAAATTGAAACAGAACTTACTTTTTGAATCTTTCCGTCAACAAAAAAAGCAGCCATAGTATGTTGCTTGGTTGCAACTGGTGGTTCAATATGGTGACATCTGGATAAATGACGTATCATAGATTTAGTGCTGGCGTGTTTGTCCAAAGCAAGGGGTTTGTTGCATATCGCAGCTGGAGTTTCGGGGTCTTCGACAGCAGAAGAGTCAATGAATCCTTCCTTCGCTTTGCAAACGTTCTTCATGATACCGTCAACGTCTTCTTGTGTGAAGTAGTGCCACACCCAAGAGGAGTGTGCTGTCGCGGTGAGGTCGGAAGCGACCTCCGAGATAGAATCGGATGGGGTAATACTACTGGTAGCTGCTGCTGGACTTGGCGGAGTGTTTGAAAGGGTAGAATTCGCCGGTCGGAGAAGTTGCGATGACAAACGTGTGACAGGAAGTGACGAGATGGGCATCTTTGGTGATTTCTAAATGGGGTATTATGTAAATACGTGAACGGTGATACTGATAAGGTGTCAGTCAATCAAAGAAAACTTTATTTACCTTTAAAGTTGCCCCAACGAAGCTATTTTTATGCTTGGTGTCCCGGCCGGGCCGGGCCGCCGGCGCACGAGCAGGGCTTTTGTTAGTCTCACTGGGTTAGGTTTCAGTGGACCGAGTCACGTACTGTCTGCCTTTGAAATTTCATCGGGCAGACTCGGCCGGGCGGGTCCAGGGCCGGGTCACAGCCTGGGATGGTATCACAGTCTGAGTCGTGTGACTTGTATGTAGCCAGCCTGTATTTTACATACAACGTCACATGGGAAATTTTTAAAAATCTAATCCAAAATTCAAATTTATCATCTCAAAGACTATCAAGCCTACAAATAATCGAATACCAGTGAAGCTCATTGAATTAAGAACAATCATATAATCAACATTTATAAAATTGGAACGATATAATGGGTTTATCGGGTCGAAAAGAAAAACAGAAGATAGGTGATGATCCAAGGAACACCAAATGGGCGCGTAGTTGAGTCTTGGTAGTTGGTCTTCATATCAGAGAATGACTTGAATTTTTATTATCATTGCACGATCTCAGATGCCTGATAACTAACCGAACTTTAATTCTTGCAACCTTCTAGATGAAGCCAATCCAGGTTTCAAATTATTATCTTCAATGGGTTGGACACCAGAAGTCAAAACACTTGGTCTAACAGGATCTTCTTCAACAACAATGACAACATGGAAAAAAAGTCCATCAGGAGCTTTACCCATTATCAAATCTAACACATCAGGTATAGGAGCTAATCCCAATATGGCACCATCTTATAATGGAATTGGTGGAGCACCTTGCTTTGTTTCAAGTAGTATGAAAGAAAACCAATCAAGTTTAGTTCCGGATCCTCAGCTTATCGAAAACGAAGAAGATCGTAAAGAAAAACTTGCAATCGTGGGAGGTGGAAATGGAGGTGGATTTAGTGATTTGTTGAGTCGTTTAAACCAATCTAAGCCCAAGGAGACAATTGTAGAAAAGGAAGAAGATGATGATGATGATTTTGAGATCGTTCAATTACCGACTCGAGGTGGTGAATCTGAACCAAATCATGATTCAAAGAAAGAAAGTAAACGTGATCGAGGGATCAAAAAGAAGAAAAAGAGAAAGGAATGTCTCGATACTATTGAAGAAGAAGAAAAGTCTACAAAATCTACATTGAAACGAAAAAAGAGCAAAAAGTCATCTCAGGAAGAAGAATCAGTAAATCAAGATATCACAAAAGCTCATGAAACTTCTGAGAAACCAAGGAAGCGTGTTAGAATAGATGAAAATCATAATACCCACGAAGAAGGAGAAGTCAAAAAATCAAAAAAGAAAAAAGAATCCAAAAAACTTAAAAAAGATAAATCTCTTGAAAAAATCGATAGTCGAACTTCAGTCATATCAGATAGTCAATCTTCAAGTAAGAGTGAAGAGAAAGAAGATGAAACTTCAAAACATGTTACGATTTCTCGACCTATTAATCCTCGTATGGCGTAAGTATCTTCTTGACCGATCCTAATCTCTCGGTGTAAGGAATCTAGCTCATCAACTTTTTTCAATACGAATCACGTAGAGCTCGATCGAAATATATCAAATCGAAGAAATTGGCTACCAGTCTCAATGCAACTGCAATGGCTGAGATTCTAGGAATTCATACGACTTGAATTGATACATCTTCTTCGGTTGGACTTTTTTATTCAAAGGGCGATTTATTTTATATCACATTCTAATCATTTTGAAAAACATCATTTTATTGGTTTTTCTTATTATCAATACCAATGCGATTTCATTGTAACAGACAAGATTCCTTTTTTATGTCATTGAGCCTCTATATATACCAACTTCCAATTTCTTTCTCATTTACTGTTTGATTCTCTATACTCAAAAGAAACAATTGAATCTATGAGTTTTTAATCATCATGCAAATCCATTTCAGTCATATGAGAACAAGAACATGGTGTGTCCACTATGATATGATACAAGGAACCCAAAGAAGATAATCTTTGAATTGACTTCATGAAAAATCTCCAAGAGAATTCACATTTGTTTTGAAGACAAGA